ATTTGCAGAAGTTGGCATTCATAAACCAATGGGTCAGGTCCCAGTGGCTGAATGGTCTACGAGCTTGCCTCGTAATCGGAAGGTCCTGGGTTCGAACCCTGATGGGTGTGTTTATCTCAAGGAAGAGAATGGCCAAAGACAGATATCACATAGATGGTATTATTAACGTTAAAAGGTAAAATAAGTCAACACACAACACAGTAGTTTTGCAGAAATTTATTCGGTACTGGCCAAAATGATGGAGATTAGATTAGCACTACTGATGACTTAAAATATCGTAGGTGTGTAAAGACGAACAACCTCATTCAACATAATCAGATATCTGTATACAAGAGGCATTGTTGCAGATACAAACATAAGCGGTGAATTTCAACTTTAGACAGTCAAGAGGCGCCAACTAACCACCAAGGAGAGAGAAATTGTGATAAAAAGTAAATTTGGTCCCCTAACTCAACCCTGAGTCTGATCTATCCCTATCCAAAACGTAACCATAATATCTCCCTAGTATAGATTAACGTAACCCTGACCTGTCTCCAGCCAAGCCTAACCTTAAGCTTCCAGATACTCTGTTTACAATAGGGTTATTTTACTGCATATCCCCGCTAGTTATAGCACCGTAGTCCATTTCTATGGTGGTTTAATGACGAGTTATTATTTTGTGCTTTTTAAGTGAAATTTTACATTAAAATTTTTCTCCGGATGTTCGTAATATCGGCAGCAGAATGTAGTTGAACTGTGTTACATTTACTGTACCTGTACCAGAAACTGTCGCTTGATATTGATATTTGAGCAATATAATGAAATAAAAGAGGTAGTAAGTTCTGAATTTCAATGTATATTTTTAACTTTTTATGAAATCATACTGGTATGTTTGGGCCTATTTATTGAAAATCAACAATAGCCACTAGACAAAGCAGGTGGCGCCATCTCAAAACATGGATATGTCGTATAATCACCCGTTTACTGTAGTCAACACTTTTTTCATAAATAATAAAGTGTTATTTACTTGATCTCAACTCCTTGCACGGACTGAGCGTTTCAAGGTCATTGGTGTGTTCGCTAGGTATTTAAGACACAAAAAAGCCACTTGACAAAGACACCTACTTTGCTCATGTGACTCAGAAAAAAGCTATTAGGCATAATTCTGACCTTCTTAACTGGTTATATATATACATATATACATCCAGGGGATATAACGACTACTTTTTTGAACAGCAGTGTTACCGATACTGGAGTAGTGACTTTAAGAGCCAACCTGGATACTGAACTTATCATTGTTGATATTAGACATCCCATATTTGCGTTAACATTGTTGATCAAGGCAACGTATGCGGTCTCATATATTTGATATGTGTCTCACGGTAAATTAAATGTAACTAAGCTCTATTCGAATACATTTGAACAAATGTGTCGAAATACTAATTCATACATAGTCCTATGTCTTTTGAATGACTCAGCAACATGCCACTTACTTTCAGTAATTGATATATAATAAATAAAGTGTCAATTACTATGGTAATATCTTTTTCTAGTCACATTAGCAAAATGCGAGCTTATGATAAGCGGCTCATATGTAGTAGCTCGGATAACTTTAGCAAACATCAACAACAATTGTGTCTAAACAACTATGGTAATTCAATTTTAGATTTTCCCGTCGATTGATTGAACCAAAGTGCTCAGTCTCAGGTTGACATCTAGGCTTCTTGTGCAGATGCTTCGACGATGTCTGCGCATGCATGTAATTAGAATTTAATTGGTGGATGGTGACTAGCAGTGGAATCCAGGATGCGCATTTCGTCCTATTTGGGACTCATCATCCGGATGTGCCTGCATTCCGCAGTGAACAATGGTGTTCCCACCGAGGCTTGAACCCAGTGCCCATAAATTCAAATGCTAAAGCGTTTGAACTTCTAGTTTCATAACCAGACACTGTCGAAGCATCTGCACAAGAAGCCTACATTTTAACATGAGACCGCGCACTTCGGTCCAATCAATCGACGGGAAAATCTAAAACTCAATTAAAGTAATTAATATGACCAACTGCACAAGAGGTGGCTCTCGTGGCCCAAATGGTCTAGTGGATAACACTTTGGCGTTTGAAACTATGGGCACTGGGTTCGAGCCTCGGTGCTGGGAACATCATCACTCACTGCGGAATCTATGGTAAGTTTATCAAAACTAGGATGGGCATTAAAGTCGCTACAGCATTGCGACTGACATTAAACGACATGTCGCTGAGCCATTCAAAAGACATAGGTTTATGAGCGAGCTAGTATTTGGACACATTTTTAGTTGTCCATTGGCGGTAACATTGTTACTGATACGGTTGTCCACACATATACTGTACACATAAAACCAGTCGAGTAGGTGAGTATTGAGGCTAGTACATTTCTTTCCGACTCCCATAATCAAAGTATGAGCGTTTGATTGAGGCACTTAGCTAGAGTTAAAACGTTGATGATGAATCGAACATATGGGAAATGCTCAGAGAAGGTCAGTAATCGCTTGTTTCAGTTCATTCTACCTTCCTAAACACGTCTCATTTTTTAATCCTATCCTCAACACACAGTTCTCAGTCGATATGCAACATCACACTATCAAACCTTCATTTTGTTGAAATTGAGATTATTCAACCACCACCTACACAATAAAACAACAATGTGCATTTCGTTAGTCAACTGACACATACACAATTTTAGGATTAGTAGCCTTGATACTTTTATATATGCAGATAGATAGATAGGTGGTTAGGGTGACCTGTGGTTGTAATAATCCATTGGAAAACGAATGGGTGTTTAACACGCACACTAGTGTGTGTGTGTATTATATCACTGATCAATAGTATTTTATTTCAATTCAATCCTTATCAAACACACGCTTTATTCATCATTGGCAATGATGAGTGTAGCATAGACACACCATTTAGTAAAACAGACATATAAATAACATAGATGAGAATGAGAGGTGTGTTGGTAAGACACACGTATAAAACAATAAGATTGAATGTGTAAACTGTGATTATATTCAAAAATGATCTTTAGAATAGATGAAAAAAACGACACAATTATTATTTCACAAAGAACCAAGATACTACTACTACTACTTTTCTTCGCATTTCTGTTTATCATCCAGTATATACATAAGAAATAGCTAAAAATAGACAGTCATAAGAAGTAGTAGATATGGTGAGCGTTTAGTTCTAGAGTATATATTTGTTGTTACGTAGGTCTCTCTTAACTGACTTACCTACTGGATATTGATTTTTCTTTTTTAGCACATTTATTAGCCAATCATATAACAGTATTTTAGGCGTTCTAAAATATATGCACATTGATTCTTTGATGAATAAGGATGATATTATACACCCTGTGTGAATACTTTACTTTTATACAAGAATCATCCAATTAACTTTGAAGATTTGATTATGTTGTGTAGGCACAACAAAATCCTAAACATGCAAACGTTAATAGTATTAGTATAGGATTGGTAAGCTGTTTCACTAATTAAACAGTAACTATGTAAAATAAAATTTAAAGTTATAAAACTCTCTCTGTATTTGGTGAATAACTGATGAAAGAATGCGTTGTAATTACACATTAATCATTAATTTCTGGTATGCAGATAAACTGTAGAGCAACACAAGAATTTCTTGATATAAACACACCAAATTAGATGCATAGAAAAAGAAAAAACAACAACACGCGTGTTGATGCTTTATAGTTCACATTGTGAAGGTATAATCTGCATTTTTCTGCCAGTAATAATCATTGAAAAAGGTGGTAGTGTCAGTGCTACAACGCATGGATCACGGGATAAGGACCTCAAGTGATGATTAACTAAGAGTTGAATGAGGACGTGCTCACACATGCATTACGACACGACCGCATACATGAATTAAGCTGTAATTTTGTATGAGCTAATTTTATACTGAAAACAGAACTCCTGTGAAAGGCAGTAAGTCATTTGATTACCATAAAACCTAAAAATTCATCAAGAACTAACATCAGTAAAGAACTTTTAGAAACCAGGGAGTGTTGGACAGCTGTTTCGTCCTTATTTGCGACTCTTCATCGGTATGCGCCCATGAACCCACCAAAGATCGAAACGAGAATCTTCAGGTTACACGGTGAGTCCATAGATCATTCAGCCACTAGGAGACGGAATACAACGAATCACCAGTTCTAGAATCATAAAGTAAGAGACTGTAATAATACGACTCTACTCATGACAGATCTAAATCAATCGGACAATCAAAAGCGAGACGATGTGATGTGTAGTGCAGTTTCTAAAGCCATGGAGCCTCAATCAATATTAAATATCTATAAAATCAGAATAAATGTGATACGTTACTGATAAGACTATGTTATTTCCCTTCAACGAAATGAACAAAACAACCTGTTATCACAACAAACGCGTTATCACCAGAAGCCGTGTCAAACTAAATGTCAGTTACCCCATATATTAAGAAATTTATATCTAAATCATATAACCCAAAAACTACATTCGGTATATTGTAGACAATAGTTCCTAAGGCTATGGATTGTGTGAATCAATAGTTCGATGGTAGAATGTTCACCAAACACGCTTCACACGGTCCAGCTTCAATTATCGGCTGACGCAATCCTAAGCCTTCACTTAGCTGGGGTAGTAAGTAGTAGGTGTGGAGCTAGGGATTCTACCCTGTAAAAAAAATACACACCAGCGCTACCGAACCTTCAAAGCTCAGGCCTGAAGCTGTATATGTTCCATATGGAATTCAAAGCAATGGAAAAAGGCTCTGAAAAGCAGATTGCATTTTACGCAAAATAATCACTAGACATTTTTCAAGCACGACAATATTTTGACTAAGTTCGATGATAATTCTAGATCTATCAACCGAGACTATTAGGACCGTTTCTGCTCGAATATTCACATTAGAGTATATAACAGTTAAGACAGCATAACTCACTTTATGCACCGACAGAGAATCAAATCAAAACAAACAAGCTAGTAGTATTGTATGTATGTGTAGCTTATATAAATTGATTGTCTCATATTAATAGTAGTAATAATTTATACAAAAAAAGTGATGATATTAGTAGTAAGAAATAAATAAGCAAATCGTGTAGGACAAGAAAAAGAAAATATTTTCCAAATATAAAACCAACACACACACATACAAAACACACACACACAAATGAAAGATGAACAATGCAAAATTACAAAACTAAATGGATTTGTGTGGTCAATTGTTTACACTAGAAAAATAAAAAAAATACAAATACAAAGGAATGATATGACAAAAGTGTTTGTAAGAAAGAAGGCAAAAACAATAAGAGACTGACTGACTGACTACTACTCTAAGAATTGACACTAGTACATGGTGGATGAGTCGGGGAATATGTCTCAGTCTGTGGTTCATGTTTCTCAGTAGTTGTTGACTCAAGAAGACAAATTTTAAGTTTTATATCATTTTCATCGATGTCGTTTGTAATTTTCGATATATCATTATCATTATTAATACTATTACTATTATTATTACCACTATCATTATTGTTAGTATTATCCATAGAGTTATTGCATAATATTTGTACTTGTTCAGCACTACCTTTATCATCATGTTTTTGGATTTGATCTAAATAATCTAAACATTCAGCTGAACTTAACTTGACAGTAAGATTTGTGCGTGGATCACAACCGGGATGTGTTAATTCAATATGACGAACAAGATGATCTTTACGATAATAAGATTTATCACAGATCTTACAAACAAACGGTTTAAATCCAACATGACGTAAGGAGTGACGTTGAAGATTCGAACGTTGAGTGAATTGAGCTCCGCATATAGTACATTTAAAAGCTTTATGAACTGAAAAAGTATGATCACATAATAAACTTAATGAATTAAACGGTTTTCGACATTGATTGCATACAAATGATTTAGCGTATCGTCGATTGACGGAATTTGATTCTTCTGAAGAGTTAGACGATTCTTTGCTGGAATTTTTCGGAGGTGAATTAGATGGGATAGTAGTGTTAGTAGTAGTAGTAGTAGTCATAGTAGTAGTTATAGTAGTATTTTTTAGTGGGGATGAAACTAGTGTTTGCAAGTTGTAATTATTAACAGGACGTGCAGGAGGTTGTTTATCAGCACATATTCGAGGTAATATAGGACGGGGTACAGTCGATAAGACGGTAACAGGTAATGAGAAAACACTAACATGAGGAAGTAGAGTAACAGCTGATACCGGCATAAACAAACCATTTGTTGTGCCACTTTTGATTGGTGTTATGACTTCAGTAATTTGTTTTTGAAGTGGAACAGGAAGTGGATTCGTTGATGTGTTATTATTATTATTATTATTACTATTATTAAGTGTACTAGGGGAGGATTCGATGGGTTCAGAAATGATTGGAGTATTCTGAGGTATTTTACATGGTCGACTAAGTTTCCGTTTACGTCGTGGAATTGAAGTGTTATCATCTTTGAAAATCTCCTGATCTGTTTTAATCGGTGAATTCGGGGCTGTAGATGTATCCATAATTCCTGAGTCGGATAAATCATGATTAGGACTATCATTTTCAAATGATTGATTATTTGATTTTTCATACGTTTGATTAACAAGTAAACATTTCATCTTTTCATGATCAGCTTGATAAGCAACTAAGGCTTGAAGTTTTAAAGATTTAGAAAATGGTGGAAGAACACGTTCAATCAAGAGCTTTGTAAGCTTTCTCTCTTCAGCATTAGGTTCACGTTTATGAACAGATGTTGATGTGCTTGTTTGATTTATCAAAGGCGATAGATCTTCATCTGACAAATCCATTCTCTTAATTAATATACAATATTTAACTGAAAGTAGAAAACACAATGTGAATACCATTAAGCAAAATGATCACATGTAGTTAGATGTCATTTATCCAGGTTTCCCATTAGACATAATAATACACGAAAACAAAATATGATCCGAGTTTATAAAACCAAGTTAGGCCCCAACTTTTGCGTTCCCCACTATCATATCATACCCAATGCCCAAATTTTTTCAAACTGTTTAAAGTGAACTTGGTTTGGACATATATATCACATAGAATCAGTTACAAACAATCCGATAATCTAAGTGCCTGTTAATTCCTTGCCGGAAAAATGTCAGTTTGTTCTCAAGACAAGTCCACAAATAAGCATTTAACAGAGCTTACCTTGTGAGCGGAAGGTCCTGGGGTTCGAACCCCAGTGGGTGGGTACTACCGATGATTCTCAAACTAGGATAAAACAGCTGTCCAGTACTCCTTGGTTTTCAATTGTTCTTTGTCTGATATTAATCCTTGGTCAAACTCGAAAAACAAATCGAATCCTTGCGGTACAAAGGAAGAACAACAGTAGTCATGGACGGAGAAGAATACAACAAGAAAGCTGAAGAACTACTCAAAGACGAGGATGTGTATCAACAACTCCCAACAAATCCCATACAAACATTGGACAACCGCATCCAAAAGACCTTAAACAAGCTTACCAAAACTGGACAAATCACAAAACAAGACCAATGACGAATGAAATCCAGTGGACCAGTCCTACCCCGATTCTACGGCAGACCTAAAATCGAATCCTTACAAGTCAACTCTTTGAAAATTTAACAAGATGACTAAATAAGATGACTAGTTGATTGTCTTATTTTCTTGAATTCTTTAACAATTACTGAAGTGAACATTTTTACTTAAAGAGATAACATTCTTTTAGTCAAAAAAGGGGGTAAAATACATGCAGACAGTAATCGTTTGGTCTACACACATGAATTAAAAACACATGTTAAAGTCACTGGTGTTGTAAATAACATAAAGTGTACACTTGATGTTTCTCTCCTTTTGAATTATTCATCCAATCACACACACCTTATGGATACTAAAGTAAGCAGCACTGGTCATCATTATGAACAGGATATTTATCGCTGAAACAAGCAGAAGAAAATGGAGATGGATTGGACACTCTGATGAGACTGTTGAGTGGCGTCATATATTAGGCAAGCCCTCGAGTGGCAACGGATTGGAAACCAATGAATTGGACATCCGAGAGTAACATGGAGGAGGACGTGTACGGAGGAAACAAAGGCTTACGGGCAATCGTGTAGTCAGCTGAAGAAGACTGAACAGGATAGAATGAAACTGGGATGTGTTACTGAAGCCCTATGTGCTATTCGGAACCCAAGGGAATACTACTACTAAATAATATCAACAGGATGAGATGTACGGCTTTACAAAATTGTTTTAACATGTTTTTTTTCCTTCACGTTTCCAGTGGAACATAGGGCCTCAACCTAGTGGCTTGAAGTTTCTGTAGCAGTGTTTATTTTTTACAGGATGGGGTTGCTAGTCTCATGCCCAACCTTTCCTCTTTACCAGCATTATTTCTGGCTTAGCGAGGTAAAGGAGTGCGTCTGTGGCCGGGGATCGAACCCCGGACCATGTGCATGGTCGGCGATCGTCCTAACCGCTGTGCCACCGACGCCTGTTTTAACATGTAGTCAAAACCAATAATGCTAATTCACTTCCAGTCAAATAATTGCAGAAATCTTAATTTCTCATTGTGAAGAAATTACAAATGTGAAAAATGGTAACACAGTTTTTATTGGTACAAACGAAAATAACGGAGGTTAGTTAGAACTCTGAAGTTTTATCAAATATTGCTAATGTGATGGAGGCACAACAAAAAATTTATTTTAATTAAAATCTATGTTTACTGTTCACAGCAAAATCATTAACGAAGAATAATAGATCGCATTATTCTGAACATTTTGCACGTTTACGCGAATGACTCACTGTATTTGAGTTAATTTACGTTATATTGTTGCTCAGCTGAACGTATTGATTTTTATAGGTCTATTGTGATTGTAAATTGTGACTTAGACATACTGAAGTGGTGATACCAATGATTCATTGATTCAAAAATATTACATATACAGAATTATGTAGGTGTAAAAAGAAAACCTATAAGAGAATTTTACTTGATAAAATACAGTGATACAGAATCATTTCTTTACTGATGACTCTTCGAGTATAAATTTATTGCTCATAATCATCCTATCAGGGTGTCTAGATAACTTTCAAAATTTGTCTACATACTTCCATTATTTCTTATCCATTGACTTAATTGGTTGTAACATTTTCCATATATGAAGTATTTGCGTCACGACGCCACTCCTATATCATGTGATAGGTATATATTCGACGGACAAAGATTCTAGTGACCAACTTCTTCTTCCATTTAGTTATATTCCTTTTTAGAACTATGACTCTGCCTACCCGATTGTGTGACTGCCACTGCTGGGTATCGCTGTAAGTTATTCAACTTCTTATGTAATGATTGACTAGGATTGTACTCAGAATGACGTCAGTAAATAAACAATACTGTATCACTGTGTTTTGTCAAATAAAATTACTTTAGTATTCAAGTATTGGTTTGTAGGGTTTTGGTTGATTGGTTACAGGATTTTATCATGAGCTGACATTGGTTAGAGAACCATTGTAAAACCTGGGAGTACTGGATAGCTGTTTCGTTAGCCTAGTTTGGGACTCTTCAGCAGTACGCACCCCGGGGTTCGAACCCAGGACCTTCCAGTTACCAGGCGAGCTCGTATCTCATTAAGCCACTGGGACCCGACCCAATGACCCATGAATTCTAACTTCTGCCAATTCATGATATACCGCGACCGCTAGCCAATATCTTCGGCGAGTATTTGTCCTCACACCCGACCTGCTGCACCCTACTGGTCACGACTTCCCACTGGAACCCCAGGTAACTACCTAGCTGAATAGGGCTAGTTGTCAGTGAGCATCTAATTGATATATTGGAATTACATTCTACCACAGTGTCTAAATTATATTCTTATGAAAAGAAGACCACGTCAGAAGATTCCATCAAAAAGAAATAACTACTCGGCGGAAACATACTGTAATTCCGTTGTGTTTTGGCTGAATGAATACCGATATAAGTCAGAACTGTAACTACGGCTGTTATGCGCAGAAATTATTCTGCAATAATATAATCGGTTTTTCAGATAGCTATAAAACTAAATTACCAGCATAACTAAAAATAATTAGCGACTACACTGACCAAATCCTTCACTGATTGATTAAAGCGGGAAGTTAAGTCATCCAGCTTCCACGACTTTAAAATTCCATAATAGCCGTTATCTTTTCCAGCTTATATTGAACGATACAACTTATAGAGATAAATCTTACACGTATCATAAGAATTCATTTTGCTTTTCGCGGTTACGAGGTAGGACAGGGGTGTTATGAACAATAATGGACTCCAAAAACACCACGAAAACAGAAATAAGTGCGATTTTAGGCAAATTCACTGATAACTTCCCACCACAGTTCCCAACAGTATAACCACATTATTCAGTAGGATATAAAACCACAATCAAAACTATGATATAAACTGAGCACATGAAAGTGACAAAGCCACATTATAAAGAATATGGTGCATAACTTATGGCTATCAAAACCAGTTAAAATGAGACGCTAGTCTTAATATAAACAGAGCACTAAGCACCTTACTGTTACGTAGCTTGGACTATACATTAACGTACAACCTCACTACACTAGCCTTCGTCAGTAATGCTAAATATTACTAGGGTTGATATCTTCTACTAACCATTGGACACTAAACACAGATGTGTGAAAAAGACGTATGGGTCAACGTAAATCCTTAAACAGATGTGCGGCAGCTTAAGCTGACATATTTCCCACTAATATAGAACAAGTGACATGAAATAGAACAATATGCAAATACACACAGTATGTAAAAAAAGCTTGGTGAAAACTTGTAAAGAAGGAGCGAAACCTTTGAAGTTGACCGAGTTTATTGATGTCCAGTAGTGTCATAGGCTTTAAATCATTTCATTATGTTTTTACCAGCACTCACAATCCCAAGGATGGAAAGTCAGATTGGATAAGACAAGACTCGTGAACTTCATGAACTAAATTCATATCTGTGTAGTCACCGTAAGCTTTTTCCAAGTTTAATTCTACTTTAATTAATATTCCTCGCCAAGGAGGTTAGTAGATCTCTATATTCAACTGGCATATTAGCCAAACTGATCGAAGGTTTACAACCGCATTGGATTTCCCTCCTTGTTTAGGGGCAAATTTAATCCAAACATAGTATATGCACTATACAAAAACAATGCTACGAAGACACTGATCATACAAAACCTATAGTTCCTCCATCTATTTCATATTTAATGACTGTCTTATAGAAGTACTACAGGGTATGAAATACTGGCCAATACATTTATTCTTTAGTTAACAGTTGGATATTCCATGGAGCCCGTAAATGAAGTGACAAAGACCAGACAGAAACTGTTTTATTTATGATCCACACATTCAACACATCAGTTTACTATCGTTCCAGGCTCACAGCATCAAATGAGATTTAACAGATCTGAGAAGGTATAGACACTCTATAAGACTACTACATAAAATTCTAAAAACTAAATTAGCTTGTGATATATACAGTCCTTGTTTTATTCTGCAGACAATATCTGTCAACAACGGGGAAAATGATCATTTAGAATGATGGAGACAATGTTTTGTAAAAGCTTGCCACATATGAAATCATATTTATACTGAACCATCTTATCATAAATCACACACAAAGCAAAATAAACCTGTGAGCTCATCATCAGGTGACAAAGTGTAGACCAAAAATTATAATAAGCGAAATATAAACACCATATGCATTAAAATTATTCATGATATTTAAAGAACTACAACGAATAACTTACTGATAAATCGAGGGGTATGTTACTGTAAGGACAAGATATATCCGCTTAGTAATAAACTCTCAGTATGCTCCGTTAACCACAAAGTATGCTCTTCTAAGAGAGAAAGGCAACTAGCAACTTCGTCTCACTTACATCAAGGGATAGAAGTATACTTGGTCAATCAATATGATCTATAACTTTTAAGACTGTGCCCACGCAGGGCTTATATCGATCATTCCGTTTATCTAAAAAGACACATTGAGATTGGGCGCAAGCGTTTTGTGCTGTCCAATCAGAAAAAAGCTATAACAAGCCTAGCCCTGAGGTCAGGTATATTTACTAGAATATTATTGGTGGGCTGGTCAGGCGGGATGTTAGGCTGCACCAATCATAAGCTCCGTCTGTCTGTGCTTTCACCAAATGCGTTAAACATTTCACACAGCCTCTAATTCATATGTTATTATTTGGGTTACAACATATATCTGTTTTTCCTCTTGATTTCTGGTATATTCTCACATTAGAGATATTATGGATTTTGACGTAGTACATATAAATGACCAGTTAAATCACATTGTACATATCTGTTTGTATAAGTATGAAATATAGGATTCTACTCCATAATAGACTTAATTTCCATAAAAAGCACACCTGATTTTCCATGTACATATTTCTCTATTTTGATTAATTCAGCCATCCATTAAGGGGGAACAGGTTAGCGTTCTCTTTTCATATACCGAATAGTGTTTACACTGTATATCACACATAACTAGAAAAAAACAAAACAAATTACCTATTTCTAGCAGTAAGCAGTCGTCATTCAGATAGGAGTAGCTCATTTGCATAACATTCGTTTAAAGTAACACGAATGTGATCAATTAACTGACATTGTCAAAATTAAACGATGATAATATGGCATATTTTTCAGACACTTGAATGTTTAATGACAAAAATGAAAATGAAATAGAGAATAATTTAGCATGCAATAGTACTTCTACAAATTTAATGTACCATAATTCGCTGCTCGACATACATTTAGTATTAAAGAGACTATTTGGCTATTTCATAATTTCTTAGAGCCAAAACGATTAAGTTATTTCATCAGTTACTTCTTATGTTGGAGGTGATTGTCTAAGATACATGGTTCAATCGTTAAGAAACCTCGAAAATTTTTGTATTTGCTGATGCATACAAAGCCTTCAGGTTAGTTCAAACATGGATACTTTGACATAACAGGCGGTCACCAGCGTTTATTTCAAACTGTCTTTAAATGGGTATAACTATTCTATGAAATATCATAAATGCGTCGCGAATTCGTGAAACTCAAATAAATGTGATAAGTAGCATGTTGTGAGATATTTTTTCTTTCATTCCTCACATTCCGAGTGGGACGTAGGACTTCAGGCTTCAAGCTTTCAAGGCTTAATAATGGTAGTGTTACTGGCTTCATGCTCAGCCTTCTGTCTTTCCCAAGTTTACTATAAGCCTGATGGGGTTAAGGAGTGCGTCTGCTAGCTGGGACTGGAACCTAAACCTCTGGATTTTAATTGCTTGTATTTCATTTACAACAGTGACATTTGTCACAAATTTAAGTTCCAAATTTATTACTATATATTTGCAGTATTAACAGAAATGGGGAACATTTGAGAAAAGCTCAATTTGAGAGTTTTGCGACATTAGGTGTTGGAAGGAGTCAATTGACAAGGAGGTGAAAGAAAGTAGATTTTTTAGGAATAAGATATAAACAGGTTACTACCTTGGTAATCTATCAACTGATCTACAACGAATTAGAAACATTTCTTTCTTTAGATCAATTTAGACAGTACTTAATGAGTCTACAGAGTTTTGTTAGTCCTCTTCAGCTGATTACTCTACACACTTGATGTGATATAGATGGCTTATATAATGTAAAGGGAGATATATGACAAACAAATAGTAAAAACTCCGAGCACATCCGCGTCAACACACTGTGGAAAATAATGTATGAGATTCAGGTTTAAAAAGTGATAACAAGTGTGTATAAAGACGACGGTTACATTTGTATAAGCATTATAAATTAATGTTGATTTCATCCTAGTTTGTGACAAAACAACAGTCCAGTGCTCGATGGTTTTCAATGACTCCCTAGATGACATTGGTGCGTTGCATAACCTACATTGTAATTAATCAGAATTCATACAAAACCTAAAATGGGAATAAATATTTTACAGGAGAGAAACTGTGATGCATTGGTAGTTCAACATTAAAAGGCTCATAAAGTATGTCTGACGTGGTCCTAGTTCAATTCCCGGCTGATGCACTCCTAACCCAGTTACCCAGTCGACAGTAAAGACGGAAGGTTGGGAGCGAGGCGAGCAACCCTTACCCCCCTAGAAAAAACAACCCCCGAAAACCAGCACCACTATCGAAACTTGAGAGCGCAAGCTTGAATCTCTATGTTCTACTCATAACATAAAGGAATAAAGAAGAAGAATTCTAAAATTAGTAGTAATAATGATAATAGTAATAAGACGATTCAGTAAGTGAAACAACATAGGAGTGGAAATGTGGAACGAAAACTGTCTCAGTAAAGAGTAATGATATAATATGATATAATAATATAATATTGTTGTCTAGCAACAACAATGAACAACTTAACACTATCAGTATCATGCTTTCAGTTTGCAAGATGTGTAGTTATTTTACTCTTGGAACTTTTGCTTATGTCTGCTTCAAACATTTGGGAAGGTGATCAGTTATAAGAGTAAACAGTTGTCTTTCTTTACAATCTATATGTTAGCTTTAACAAATATGTTCTCAAATTGATATACACAGTAAGATGGGTTCAAAACTTAAATGACGACCTGGTTATCAAGCTTGTCTTGTAAATGAGGGATGTGTTCGGTTCTGGAGATCAGTTAGTATAATGCAGAGCCTTTTGCCTTAAATCCCACTATTTCAAGTCTCACTGCAACTAAGGCTTTGTTTTTAAATTCGATCGACACTCCCCCCCCCCCAAAAAAAACGAAGAATAATAACAGTCCGATTAGTGTTCCAACAATTTCTTCAACAATACGCACACTCTCACTTCAGTATTTGAATGCATTTCATGTGGACATTGATTCTCCATGAGATAATGCATGATTTCCGTTTAACTGACATCTTCAGTTACAGTCAGTTCACGAAACATGAAAAGCTTTCCTTTTATTTAATAGCACAGTTTCTATGAGGAGAACAAAACAAGTAGTCCAGCGAAGAGGCTTTTTGAAACGAATTCATTTCCTTTGGCTGTACAATCGCATCTTTATGCAATTTTTTCAAAATAGAGGGTAGTAAGATAGTTGTCATTATTAATCAGTGCATAAGAGGAGTTGAATAAGGATGCTAGAATTATTTGATGAATCAGTTGTGATCCGGACACACATAGAAACGAAGGAAACTGTGATATTATGCAAGAGTTCGAAAGAGTCATTAATAGCCTAAAAAGTTTGAAGAACACTATCCTGTATGGTTGCAGAAAGATGGTAGTGGCTTTATAAACAGTTCGATTACTGCGTACCTTGTAGACACTGGTCATTCCATCTCAACAAACGACCCCTTCAAAATAATATATGAAGCAAAGAACAACCTGCCAAAAACAATACGCTTTCAACTCCTCTGGATTGTTGAAGCTCTAGCCATTCAGATAGAAAGAAAACCGTAGCTCTGTATAGAAAAGAAAATTATTCAACCGCTTAGACCATCATGGCAACGATCTTGTTGTTTTCTAACAACTTGATTTTGTTAGTTTGTTTTTCAACTCTATAACTTGGGTTTCTTTCGAACTCTTGAGTAATGTCACAGTTTTCTTGGTTTCTATGTTCATCTGGATCACTACTCATTCATCAAATAACTCTAACAACCTTATTCAACTCCTTTTATGCACTGATTAATAATGACAACTATGATTGTGTAGAACTCATCACTTTTCTTACTCCCTTCTCTCTTGAAAAAAATTGCATATAGATGCGATTGTACAGCTAAAGAAAATGAATTCGATGATATTAGATAGTTGGAGGGAATCGGCCACAGGAAGCCTTGCTTGACCTACGTTTCGTGCTAGTTGGCACTCATCAGCAAGGCGTATCTGCAACCTTGAAGGAACTGATGTCCCTTCTGAGATTTGAACCTGCGTCACCCAGTGAGCACTGCAGCCAGAGACGTTACCAATGAGCTACTCGGGCTCGCGATTGACCTCCTGTAGGACTGTAGTGGGTATTTTGATTGGACACTAGTAACTAGTGTTATGCATCTAGTCGTTTCTTTGGTGCAGACTGAATTCTATCAGTCAAGTTTGCAATATGCCCACCATTCAAGGTAGCTCGCCATCACGGTGCACATTGATTTGATGATATTAGATGGTTGGAGGCAATCGGCAGGAAGTCTTGGACCTAGGTTTCGTGCTAGTTGGCACTCATCAGCAAGGCGTATCTGACTGATAGAATTCAGTCTGCACCAAAGAAAGAACTAGACACGTCACACTAGTTACTAATGTCCAATCAGAAAATGAATTCGCCTAAAAGAGCCTCTTCGCTGAATTACTTATTACTTTCTTCTTTGCCTTGATGAGAACTATTCATGAACAGTTAATATATAACAATAGTCTACTTGATCAGAAATGATATTCAGTAAATGGAAACGTAGAATTCTATTGAAGCATAAAGCATTAAACTTCATATCATTTTCAACTATATCATTATCATTTAACTAATTAAAAATCAACACTGACAGATAGATGAACAAGGTAAACTGATCCACCAATTGATTGAGTGTTGGTGTTAGTTATAGTATAAAGAGTTCATTCTATTACAATTATTATTATCATCATTTTCAAGTGTACTCCGGCAGAGATTTCATTAACTTCAAATTAGATCACGGATTGATATTAGTGGCGCTATAAATAGTAAATTAACAGAAGTTACAACTCATGGGCCATTGGATTCTGTACCACTGGGCTGGCCTTGTGGTCTGAAGGTCGTGGGCTTGATCCCCGTTGGGATCATTGGTTCATACTGATGAAGACTCCCAGACGAGGACGAAATAGCGGTCCAGTAATTCCTGGTATTCAGTGATTCTCTAACTCAGGTCAGTTCCTGATCAACCTACTATTATTTTATTGGGCATGGTTTAAACCAGATTGTTTTCTTGTTTCGAGAAAAAGCTTTAATTGATCTAGCATCCATAATGTCAAGATTACACAGATCGTTATCATGACCTATATCTTTAGATCAAAAAGCATACACATTTTACTTTACAGCTGGCCTAAGTTATTTTTTTT